CTCAATTAGTGCTTAATACTGAAATATACAAAATATATAACTCCCCCCCTGTGCAAATTAAACATATAGTGCAATCCCGATCTACAAGTCCTTGCTAAAGGTGCTTAATAAGTGCAGTACACATAAACCAATACAGATAGTGCTATGTTCTTCCATGTGACACTTGTGCTCCCCCCTTTTAGGTCCGCACTCACCAAAATCCCATGAACCCTGCTTACAGGGGGGTCATATGCGCTTTCGTGCAATATCCACTGCATTCCTCAGTCCATCCGTGTCATCTCTTAGCTTGTTTCCTGGGCTCTCATATCTCCTTCCTCCTCCACTCCACCAGTATTCCCGAGTAAATCAAAAAGCAGAACTCCAATAGTGTAATACCCTTTGGTTGGACTTAAGTTTAGGGGTTCATATAGCACTTCTTTACCCTCAGGAATTAATATTCGTTAGACATTTGCAACCACTGTATTCATCTTCCATAGGTTCCCATGGTGCTTATGGTGAAGGTGTTCACAATGGGATTGGAATCATCTATAAATATAGCAAAAACCCCTTTGATCACTGGACCTCCAGACTAGCCCCAATGGCCAGTAAAGGGTCACATGCGCTTGTGCCCCCTTCATGGGCTGCAAACAGGATGGCTCCAGATTCATTCCACCACAGATGGCTCCCACTGCTCCATGGATCCTCCACTGACATAAGAGGCGTTATTTCATGCATGAAAGAAGAATAGGGACTGATAGTGCTCTCCGTACAGTAAGAAAATGTATTCAATATTTAAAATGACACTCACAAGTCAGTGCACACAGAGTGCTATATACAGCGCATATTAAACACAGGCAGCTCTCTATCTCACCACCTCCATTGCCAACATCAAGATGGCCACGGACTGACCCCACTCCACTCCTATACGCATTACACCCAACCCACAGGCTTCCTCAGTAGGATAGGAGAAGGCCAGCAGGACGTTCTTAAAGCAGAGTTCCACCCTTTTTTTCATGATCCTTGCCACACAATGCGCACCCGCAGAACAGTCTGTTAAGGGATATTTTTATTTATTTATTTCTAAAATACCTTTTTTTGCTGTCAGTATCCTGCACTTCCGGTCCGTCCACCTAGGCGATTTTGTCATTAGGCGATTCCCTAGGACTCTTGGGATATCGCCATTGGTTTTCCCAGGTGTCTTTGGGAAGCCTAATGGTGAAGTCTCTCGGTAGTTCTTGACCGGAAGTGACAATATCAGGAGGAATGATCGACAGGTTGCCATAACAATGGTGCGGGATCTTCCATCGCAATTGTTATGGAAACCTAAAAACAACACAGTGTGCCGTGCCATGTCCTTACAGCACAATCGTGAGATCAGGAGGTGCATGCTGGGTAGCCAGCTGCACCTAATCCAGATGAAAGTAGGAGCTGGCTACAGATGCCCACACTAGTAATGGCTGCTGCCTGCCTGCCGGGATCCTGCTGAGGAATGTCACATCTACAAATAAGCAAACAACATACACTTAGAACACTGTCCTAATTATATACTGCAATGAAAGAGAAAAATGCAGGTGCTTTTTGTAGAAAAAAGCCGAGGAGACTGGACCTTCGCTTTAAATACCCTCCCAAGACGTTACCACAGCAACCACAAGTGAACTGGAAGTGACTCCACTTCCATATACGTTATTGTACAAAATTATTATTAAAAAATACATTACAACTTAAAATCATACTAGTGGCTCTGATAGCTTTTCCAATAATATATTCCCTCATAGGGTTACAGCAATACAGTGCTCCCAAGAAGCCAAAACGCGTTTCAGTCACTTCAACTTAAGATCTTCTCCGGGAGCATAAAATCCAAAAGGGATCTCTAGATGAACACATTTAAAGTGAAAAGCGAATCGTATGTAATGTCATCAATAACAGTCAAACAATCTCCATTTTCATACTTACCAATCAGCAATCAAACAGCTGATGTCTATCAGAGCGATCTTAAAAACACCGGCTCTCAAAATAGGATTGCATGATCCAACATTCAATGGTATGAGCAATCAGGTGGACAAGAGTGGTCACATGTGCATCTCATAGTATTAGCGGCAGATAAGATCCACTTATATGATTTTAAGTTGTATTTTTTAATATTGATTTTGTACAAAAAAGTATATGGAACATTTTTTTTCATGAATACATGTGTGATGTCACGTCAGATGCATTAAAGTGCCAAAGGGGGTCATTCTTTCTTGCTTTCTAGAAGCATATTGTTTCATCAAATAACTGTCAAAATCAACTGCCCTTGCTTCCATACTAGGCAAGCAAATACAGTGCTCAGCATAAATGAGTACACCCCTTTGGAAAAGTAAGATTTTATTCAATATCTCAATGAACACAAAAACACTTTCCAAAATTTTGACAAAACTGAGCTTTATAGAACATTTGTTTAGCTCATTAAATGAAGTGCGGTTAATATAACTTAGATTACAAAATCTTGTTTTGCTCAAATTAGTTGATGCAAAAATAAATACATCCCACAACAAAAACTACTACATCTAGTATTTTGTATGTCCTCCATGATTTGTAAGGACAGCACCAAGACTTCCAGGCATGGAATGAACAAGTTGGCGACATACTGCAACATATACATTTTTCCATTCTACAAAGACTTCTTTTAGAGCCTGGATGTTGGATGGAGAGTGACGATCAACTTATCTCTTCAGAATTCACCATATGTGTTCTATTGGGTTCAGATCAGGAGACATACTTGGCCAATGAATCACTTTCACCCTGTTCTTCTTCAGAAATGCAACAGTGGCCTTAGCTATGTGTTTTTGGATCATTGTCATGTTGGAAAAGTGCACAATGACCAAGGGCACGGAGTGATGGTAGCACCTTCTCTTTCAATATAGAGTAGTATATCTGTGAATTCATGGTACCATCAGTGAAATGCAGCTCCCCGATAGCAGCAGCACTCATGCAGCTCCACTATGTTTCATTGTAGGTACCATGCACTTTTCTTTGTACTGCCTCACCTTTGTGACGCCATACAGTTTTGAAGCCATTAGTTCCAAAAACATTTATCTTGGTCTCATCAATCAAGGGTACAGAGTCCCAGTAGTTTTTTTTGTGTATGGGCTTTAGGAGAGGTTTATTTCGTGGACGATGCCCATGCATGCCATTCTTCTGCAGCGTACGCCGTATTGTGTCACAGGAAACAATCACCCCAGTTCGGCTTTCTACTTCTTTAGCTAACTGCAGTGAACTTGCATGGCGATTTTCTTCAACCCTTCTCATCAGAAAACGTTCCCGTCAAGGTGTTAACCTCCAAGGACGGCCTGGATGTCTCTGTGAGATGGTTGCAGTTCCATCTTTGTATCACTTTTGTTACAGTATTCTGACTGATAAGTAAAGCTTTGCTGATCTTCATGTAGCCTTCACCTTTCTTGTGTAAAGAACTTATGTTCTTTCTCAGGCCTTGTGACATTTCTCTTCCTTGTGGTGCTATTCCTGACAGCATGAAATCAGAAGGGGTTTTCTTTGATAAGTAACGCCCTTTTATAATCAACTGTCTGCTAGACACCTGTTTAATGAATAGTTAAGACTCACCTGTAGTTGATTTCTTGTTAATTAGAATTTTGTTGTTTAAAATTTAGCTTTGCTCTTATTGATTTTTGCAACATGGTCTTTAAAGAAATTGTTAGAAAAAATACTTTTTTGTACATGCAAATTAACAAATCTTGTTTGCCATCAATGGTCCGCATTGTGGAAGTATTCTGTAGTATAGTGTCCCACAGAACATGTTGATTCTGAAAGAAAAGTAAAGCTTTTCTGACAAATCTGTTGGGGTGTACTCATTTATGCTGAGCACTGTATTTCTCAAATTCAGCCTGAATGCAGCCTCCATGCTGCTTCAGTGCAGCCTAAATGTAAGCTCCAGCAGATCAAATGCAAGCTACTCTGGAAACTCAGCTTCTTTAAGTGCACTGATACCCATGCATGGGTGTGCCAAAATACAGTTGTACAAGCCCCCCCCCAGGATTATGCAGGCTAATGCAGTGTATAATCTTGTCCTGTCTGGTCATACAGCTCCCCCAGAGGTAATACACATCATCCAGTCATACACTGCTCCGTGTCCCTGCTATCTCTGAGGAGTCTCACAAACATAGGACTTAAAAAACAAGCTAAAATGGCCACCCCTCTACCTCTACTGCACAAGTGAAGGCTATAGAGAGCGGCTTCAAGGCCTCTAGTGGCTGGAGGAGAAACTGCTGCCCAATACTACTTCAGAGACACACAAAGCATGGCCCAGCCCGATCAAACAGCAGAGACAGTCAGATTTTTCAAAGAAACATGGCAAATGTAAATTTACCAATCCCGCTTCAGAACTCTGAATCATAACAGGAGTCCAACCTTCACGGCGGGCTTTGTCATGCAGACCTTCATGGACTCTGTCCCCTTTGTACTTGGGCCACTGCTTCAACCTGTACAGCACCCTGCCAGAAAGCGTCTTGGTCAGTATTTTACTCCACAGGTTTCCATTAAGCAGGGTCCAGCGCCGTAAGGCTGCATTATAGGCAAAACCCTGAGGATTCTTCTTATCGCACGAGGCTCGGGTACTATCCACTTTGGCTAACAGCTCTTCAAATGGATCCGATTAAAGACCCTGATTCTCAATGGAACCGTTCTGGACCTTCAGGAATGCTTCAAGAGCACATGCAACACATCAGTGACCATCCACCTTACAGACACTGGCAAAAAAAAACTGAAGTAGGAGGGGTTATATAGGGGAATACTTCCTCTCCGATTTGGTCGGCCAGTGTGCATGCACCTATAGGTTGCATATAATCAACATAGTCATGAATAGCCTGCTCTGTGTCCTGTGATGTACAATAAAGAAAGAATAAATAGCTATATTGGCCACATAACACACAGCTTCTTACTTGCTGCATAAGGTCAGACAATTCCTGTAGTTGTGACATTTCTTGTGTCTCCATAAGTTCTGAGTCACTAGCAGGGAAAACTCCAGCATCGGGCTTTGGTCCATCATATTCAGTGATGTACTCCTCTTGTCCAAATTCAATTTTGCCTAATGCCTGTAAAAAAGTATTAGAAGGATTTAAATGGATAGTAAAACAACAACTGGAGTGTTTGTTTTAGTTAGTGGAAATATAGCAAAACACTAACAAAAGAATACCAAACCACTGACAATTCTTTTAGCACCAGCTCTTCTAGAACAGGGATGGCCACCCTGGTCCTCTAGTGGTTCAAACAATCCATATTTGTGGGTAGGAAAAAGCAGAAATGTTAAAACTGATAGCATTGTGCCCCTATGAGAATAACACATCACAGACCATTTAAAACAGCCAAGCAAACAGATATGTACGGCAACTCTGTCCCAAAAAAATTGAGCAGTGAATAAAAGATCCTCCGTGAAAAGAATACTTAATGCTTCCACTGCAAACACCACTTAAAGCTGAACTCCAGCTTTTATTACACTTTACATAGTTAATTTGGGACAGCTTGGTCCAAACAAACTATGTCCCTCACTAGGATGTGAGGCCGCTTGATGTACGCTAAACTGATGTAGCTGACTACATAAACTGTGTTCCAGGTACAAGCTGAGACGGTCTCAGGTCTGGAACACAATAGAGTCTGTCTGAGCGGCACTCACGTTATTAGAAAGTGTACTCTAGCAATGAATACAAAGTCAGACACAGCCCGCCTCTCTGACAATCAGAGGAAGTTTTGTATTCATTGCTAGAATATACCGCTTTCTTATGACTGGGTTTGTTTCAGGTACCGCTTTCTATGAATGACTGGGTGCCATGACAGACTATTGTGTTTCAGGTATGAGACAGAAAGGCCTCGGCTCACACGTGAAGCACAGTGCTGTATGTAGCTTCAGCTACATACAGTTTATACAGCACATCCAGCGGCCTCACGTTCGTGAAGGACATAGTTCGTTTAGACCAACTTGGCTCAAATGAACTATGTAAAAATTTAACAAAAGCTGGAATTTTCTGCTTTAATGAAGGGAAATTTTCAATCTGAAGTCTCTTCCAAAACTGACAGTCAAGAATGTCAATCTCCTGTTCCTCCTGTGACTGCTATATTACTAACAAGAAAATTAGTGATGTAGGGGTTGTCAAAAAAGTCAATGAGTCCAGCAAAGGATTTGGAGATTAACCAACAGTGTCAGCTTCTGAAAAATCTTCAGGTGTTTGCAGCACAGGCAGTGGAAGAGGTAAAGATTTATGTTCTTTGCAGGAAGACCAAATATTTATTCACCTTTTGTAACATGTTACACCCATATTCAGTAACGGCTGGCAGCTTGTAGTTCTCAATGAACTACCAGGGAGCTGTTGCGCGCTCCATGTAGTTCATTCAGTAACTGCCTGCCCATATGTGATATGAGCAGACACACACACTGACAGTCTGGCGGAGCCTGAGTGCACCCACGATCTGCTTATTGTGGATGCAATGCTTTGCAGGCTCTAGTAAAAATAATAATCAATGCACCTTTTTACCTGCAAAAAGTTGTTGATATATTTAAATATTTTTTTTTTTTTTTTTTTTTTTTTTTTCACAAAAAGGTGAACTTTTCCTTTAAGGACAGTTTTGGTTTAAAATGGACACTGTAGTTAAGATATTTTTTCATTTCAATAATTTATGGATTTGTTTTTATTTAACTGTCAAAATGACAAATAGACGTTCTGTACGTCAGGACGCAGGGGCTCCCAACCATCATAAGGATTTTCAATAGCTATAGAAAGCTGTAAAATGTGCATGGTGGCAATATTAGATCCATGGGTTTTGATGCTAGCTAGTTAATTCCTTTATAAAGAAGCCATCCAGTCTGGTTTCAACCTCAGAAAAATAGACAAATGGTTTCTTACAGGCTCTAGCAATTGTCAGTTTGGAAACTAGGAGGACATAATGTGCTAGCCTAAACTGTCATTTGGAGAGGCCCAATAGATTGACATGTAGCACAGCAAATCAAAGATCTTTAGGGAGGTGGACTCCAAATAGCTTACAAAGAAGTGTAAATACTTTAGCCCAAAAACAGTATGCAAAACATCACCCAACACTTGGCAACCTCTAAAACAAAATCCTGTATGCCCAGGGAATAGGTGGGCCAATATATTCAGACCTTTTAATAAATGACAAATTATCAGATTAAAAACCGATGCATTATCATTTACAGACTAAACCAGCATCAAGTTAATAAAGGTTAAAAAAAAAAAAAAAAAGTAAATAAAAATGAAAAAAACACTCATATAAAGGTTTCTGTGTTCATTCCAGTGGTCATACCTCTACAAATGGTTTTGCAACTTTGGCTGTGATGATGTCAGAGGGGATGGTTCCTGAGAAAGCATAACAAACTCTTCAGCTCTCACCCTAAATCCAGAATCATCTAGTGGAGAACACACTTCAAAAAGTTCCTGGATAGTTTGCTGAGAGAGAAGAGCAGAAAAAAAAAAAGTCATATAAATATATTCTAAAAAAGTGAACGGTTTGGAATACTATAAATAAGAAAATGTAAAGCTGAACTCCAGAAAGATACAAAAGAGAAAAAAAAAAAAAAACAGCTCTGTATTCATTTAATGCTTTTGCTGCTGCAACAATTTTTTTATTTATTGTTTTGCATATTTTTGGCCTGGAGAATACCTACAATCCCAAAAACATTAAAGTGATATTAGCCACTTGCGGACTGCCTATTCGCAATGTACTATGGACGGGCAACCCAGGCAGGCAAAGCAACGTACTGGTACATCACTGCCTGCTTCCGAGTATAAGGCGCGCTCATGCCCCCCCCCCCTCTCCCCTCCCCAACACCTGCTGTGAATGTACACAGCAGGAGTCTGTCAAGCTTATCAGCTGTGTACAACCACAGTCAACAGACCTCTGTTCACATTCTATACAAGCTCTGTACAGAGTTAACGATCTTTAGGTTTCTCAAAAAAATAACTACCATATTTTCCGGCGTATAAGACAACTTTTTAACCCATGAAATTTTTTTGAAAAGTCGGGGGTCCTCTTATACGCCGATATACGGCGAGCCGGTGTCAGGGCGGCACTTTTTCGGGGGGGGGGGATGGGGCAGCGCGGTGCCGCCCCCCCCCCCCTTCCAAACAGAAGGGACACTAATCCCCCCCCCCCCCCCCACTGACACCAACAACGGGGCACTATTCCACCCCCCACTGACACCAATGATGGGGCACTATTCCTGCCACTGATACCAATGATGGGGCACAATTCCTGCCACTGATACCAATGATGGGGCACAATTCCTCCCACTGACACCAATGATGGGGCACAATTCCTCCCACTGACACCAATGATGGGGCACAATTCCCCCACTGATACCAAAGATGGGGCACTATTCCCCCCACTGATACCAATGATGGGGCACAATTCCCGCCACTGATACCAATGATGGGGCACAATTCCCGCCACTGATACCAATGATGGGGCGCTATTCCTCCCACTGACACCAATGATGGGGCGCTATTCCTCCCACTGACACCAATGATGGGGCACTATTCCTCCCACTGACACCAATGATGGGGCACAATTCCTGCCACTGATACCAATGATGGGACACTATTCCTCACACACTGACACTAATGATGGTGCCCCATCATTGGTGTCAGTGGGAGGAATAGTGCCCCATCATTGGTGTCAGAGCGAGGAATCGTGCCCCATCATTGGTGTCAGTGGGAGGAATAGTGCCCATCATTGGTGTCAGTGGGAGGAATAGTGCCCCATCATTGGTGTCAGTGGGAGGAATAGTGCCCCATCATTGGTGTCAGTGGGAGGAATAGTGCCCCATCATTGGTGTCAGTGGGAGGAATAGCACCCCATCATTGGAATACCATACTGAAATACCATACCATATTGAAATCAAATCTGATGCTTTTTAATTTTTATTTGGTGTGCGTTGGAAGAGGGGTAGTCTTATATAGCCATTATAGCCCAAACCCTATATTTTAACAGGAAAAGTAGGGGGTCGTCTTATACGCCCAGTCATCTTATACGCCGGAAAATATGGTAATAAATGCAGTATATTCAGTAGATTCTATAACTTTCACACAAACCAATTACAGTACTCTTTATTGGGAATTTGTTTTTAAATAAAAGACATTTTGGCCACAATTTACGAAGAAATTGGGTTATTTAAATTTTTTATTGGATATATTTTATAGCAGAGAGTAAATAGATATTTTTAATTTTTTTTTTTCTTTTTCATTTATATCGCAAAAATGAAAAACCCAGTGGTGATCATATACCACCAAAAACAAAGCTCTATTTGTAAGAAAAAAAACAATATAAAATTTCATTTGGGTACAGTGTTGCATGACTGCGCAATTAACAGTTAAAATAGCACAGTGCTGTATAACAAAATATGACCTGGCCATGAAAAGGGGTAAAATCTCCCATATATATCTCAAACATAATTACTTGCATGCTCAATTCAGTGGTTTTACACACAACAGCCCCAAGCATCTTTTTCTCAGGTCCCCTACCAGCAGCACTGCTGACTCCTCCCCTCCTGCTGAGTGCCCCCAGAGCAAGCACCTTGCTATGGGGGGGGGCACCCTTGCACATTGCAAGATCAAGACGGGGCTCGATTAAGTATTGGGGGGGCTGCTGCACACAGGTTTTTTTTACCTTGATGCATAGAATGCATGAAGGTTGAAAGATTTTGAACCTTTACAACCGCTTTAAATAAGTTGTACAATATTTCTGCAACGGTTTGTGTAAATATTATACATTACATTAAAACTACACTATAATTAAGTGCACCCAAATACAAAATAATCGCCAATTGCTTTCATAAAATATAAAAGACAAGACTGGATATCAAATGTGTCAGGCCTCAAAATCCCATGTGCCTGCAAAACAAGAAAACCCCAAGAAAAAAAAAAAAAAACCCCAGCAGTGTTTGATCACTCAGATTTCACTGCAGAGCCAGTGGGGACAGATGCAGCATCGGATCAATGCCTAGTATAATTTCTTTCTTTTCTTTTTTTTTTGTATAGACCATGATTTTCAAATTTTTTTTTAAGTTATTAAAAATTAGTTTTTCACTTTTTTTTAATTTAAATCTATTATTATCATTAGGGGGCTTACAAGCATTGTATAGCATTGTGAAGGTGGAGGTTCTCTTTATCCCTTTCGCTGCCGCAGACATAAGGAATATGGCTACAGAGAACTGCTTCCAGCTGACCAGTTAAGAATGCCTTACGCTGGCTGCATTTTCCGACCTGCTATAGGTTCATGATAGCTTCAGTGACCATGAACTTATATCTAAAGTCCTGATTATATCAATTGCTATACAAGCATCTGATCAAGCTGCTAACCATCAGATCCTCCCCACTGAGCATCAGTAAAAAACATAATTCTTCATCCCCTCTGCAGCCCAATGCCCCAGCCAGAGCATCTCCTGTTCTGTGTGTGAGTGCAGCTGCAAAAAAGGAGAGTGAGGACTTTGTAATAGTTACCCAACTGCAGCAGAGCAAGATCAGGTCTCCTGATTTGCCAGACAGGGCTGAGATGTGTGGCAGAGCTTTGTAAATCTCAGGAAAGGAAACATAGAAACAAAAATCCTTTGGTACAACAGCTTCCTTATATGTATTTTATTTGTGTATTTGTTTTACTTGGAGTTCAGCTTTAACATAACATATGTTAAGCTGCAACAGCTTACTTGGGTTAGGAATGCCAGAGAGTAATCACTGCCCTGAGCTGCCACTTCCCGAATAAGATCCTTCGTGCCATTCCTTAACAGCTTCTCTTCTATCGAATTGGCGCTCACAAGCCTAAACATGTAGATTAATTAAAATAGAAGTTTAAGTTGCTTGTATTTTTTATACAAAAGGCAGTTCGACAAAATTAGGAAATATGCACAAGTTTTTAGATGATCAATTATTAAAGTGGTAATCAACTGCATTTAAAAAAAAACAAACAAACTGGTTCCCCATCCACCGAAGGGCAAAGTCATAACGTGCTCGCATGCACCACATACTAACATTATGACAAACTTGCATGTGAAACGGATCCCTCCAGCAGCACCCTGCCACCACTGACGGGGAATCCATCTTCACCAGGTCTTCCATTCGGGTTCGCAGGCTCTGGCCGATTGAATGGCTGAGCCTCCATTACATCACTCCTGCTCTTGCACACAGTGTCACACCAGTGGCACAGCTGTCCATTGAGAATGCAGTGCATATGCACTGGAGACATCACCGGCTGTGTCACATGTAAATATCTCCTAAACGACGCATGTTTAGTAGATATTTACTATATCTACAGGTAAGCCTTATAGGGTTACCTGTACGTACAAAGCAACATAGTTTACTCCTGCTTTAAAGAAAGAGCAGCAATCCTGAAAACGTTTTTTTTTTTTTTTAACTATATAAGCAGATTTTAATAAACAGCATTTGCATGGAGTTCTACTACCTGCCCACTGAAATATGTTGGCCTAATATGAACTCAGTGACAAAACACTGCCGAAACCATGTGCTGTGCATCAAACATACAGTTAGGTCCATATATATTTGGACACAGGCACAATTTTATTTCTTTTCAGGTATTCACCAAAACACATTCAAGCTATAATTATATAATGGGTATGGGCTGAAACCGCACACTCTCAAGGTTTAATTTGAGGGTATGCACATCCAAATTGGAGAAAGGGTTTAGGAATTACAGCTCCTAAGAGTAGCCATGCCTCTTTTTCAAGGGACCAAAAGTAATTGGACAATTGAATATAATCATAAATAAAATGTTCATTTTTAATATTTTGTTGAGAATCCTTTACTGGCAATGACTGCCTGAGGTCTGGAACCCTGGAACCCATGGACATTACCAAAGACTGGGTTTCCTCCTTTCTGATGCTTTGCCAGGATCTAACTGCAGCTGTCTTCAGTTGTTCTTTGTTTGTGGGTCTTTCTGCCTTTAGTTTTGCCTTCAGCAAGTGAAATACATGCTCAATTGGGTTGAGATCAGATGATTGACTGGGTCCATTGCAGAATATTTCACTTATTTTGCTTCAAGAGCACCTGGGTTGCTTTTGCAGTGTGTTTTGGATCATTATCCAGCTGTACTGTGAAGCGCCGTCCAATCAACTTTGCTGCATTTGGCTGAATCTGGGTGACAGTGTATCTCTAAGCACTGCAGAATTCATCCGGCTGATTCTGTCACATCATCATTAAACACCAATGACCCAGTGCCACTGGCAGCCATGCATGCCCATGATATCACCATGCTGCCTCCACCATGTTTTACAGATGACATTGTGTGCTTTGGATCATGAGGCTTGGAGCCTTCTCCACAATTTTTTCTTCCCGTCATTCTGGTACAGATTAATCTTAGTTTCATCCGTCCAAAGAATGCTTTTCTAGAACTGGTCTGGCTTTTTTAGATGTTTTTTGGCAAAGTCTAATCTGGCTTTTCTATTCTTCCGGCTTATGAATGGTTTGCACCTTGTGGTGAACCCTCTGTATTTGCTCTCATGAAGTCTTCTCTTGATTGTAGACTTTGACAATGATACGCCAACCGACTGGAGAGTGTCCTTCACTTGTCTGAATGTTGTGAATGGGTTTTTCTTTACCATAGAGAGGGTCCTGCGATCATCCACCACTGTGGTCTTCCATGGACGTCCATGTCATTTTATGTTGCTGAGCTCACCAGTGTGTTGTTGTTTCCTCATAATGTACCAAACTGTTGATTTGGCCACTCCTAATGTTGCTGATATCTCTCTGATGGATTTGCTTCACTTTTGAAGCCTTACAATGGCCTGCTTCACTTGCATGGCCAGCTCCTTTGCACGCATGATGTAAGTTCACAGCAATAGATTCCAATTGCAAATACCACACTTAGAAGCAACTCCAGACTTTTAGCTGCTTAATTGATGAAAAAATAACAAAGGAGTAGCCCAGACCTGGCCATGAAACAGCTTTTGATTCAATTGTCCACTTACTTTTGGTCCCTTGAAAAAGGGGGGGATGGCTACTCTTAAGAGCTGTAATTCCTAAACCCTTCCTCCAATTTGGATACCCATTATCCATTATATAACAATAGTTGATTATGTTTTGGTCAATACCTGAAAAAAAACTACCTGCCTGTGTCCAAATATATATGGACCTAACTGTATACTGAATATATTGATATGAGTTCATATAGGAAGACTGTAGGGCTAAATGGGTGCTAATCAGTCCTGTCCTGCCAGGTCAATAAAAATCTACTGGGCACCTTTAAAAAATCAACACAAAAAACAGGGCATTGCCAAGCTTCATTAAAGCTTGATGGCCAAGCAAGTGTAAAGGAGTCCTAAAGTTGACTAATGAGGGAGAAACGTTAAAGTGCACTCTTGTTAACTGCATTACCAAATATGTTATGTATGTCATTGCTTGTGGTATTATCTCAATGCAAGACCACAAGAAGGCTGCGGTATCACCTCCGTGACTATTTGTAGGACACTGAAAAAAAATAATTTGACTAATATGCCAAGCATTTTAACGAATGTCATGGGGGTGATTCCAGAATATAGAGGTAGTGAATTATTCAGTCTCCTCTGTAAAAGAGAGGTATTCCAAAATTTATCAGCTGCAAACCAGAAGACCCATGGGGCTAAGTTTTGAGTGGAATGTTACTTATTTTTGTGTGTTACACCCCCACCTCCTTTTCTTCTCTGTGTTGTGTTTAAAAAAAATAAATTGTGTTTCAATGTTTTGTGTAGTTTTAATCCAGCATTGCAAGGCTGTATATGATCACTCTTTTGAGGTTTTGTGATGTTTATTATAAGTTCATACATGTAATGTAGATTTCTAATTTTATTTGGTTTCTAGCACAAATACGTGCAACTTTTGTAGGGGGATCTTTTCTTTCCCCTTTGTCCTGATTTCCCTGTTGGATTCAAATGTGGTTGAGATATCAAGTATTTTATAGGTGACAGCAGTGGTTGAGACTGTTATGAGTAAACATTAGTATAGCATGAAATATGTCAGCGGGGTTAATCTGCTCCTTCGCTCCTTTCTCCTCGATGCTTTTACCTTATTTGGCGATTTCCTAAATGAAGGTGTTTTCTACAGTAGTGCGGCCGTCTATATTTCCTCAGCATCATCATCAGCTGTGAACTGGGTCAGAATTACCTGTTTAGTACTATTGTGGCAGTGTGTGGATGGAGGACCTGGAACAGGGTTTTCTCTCTTGCATTGTAAAGTATGGTGACACTCAGTATGAAGCACAACAATAAATAACACCAAAATCACACAGTACCTGTATACATGAACATCTTTTGCTCTTCCAATGAAATCACACCATGACTGTGTCTTTCCATCCATAACAGGGTTTAAATCAGTGTCATAGAATATCACGGTGTCTGCTTCTACATGATGCACTCCTAAAGAACGAATGTGAGTAGAAAGGACCATACTAAAAATGCGTGGGTCTCTGTTGAAACTTTTCATGAGATCCTAATAGAAAATGTTTAAACAAAATTAGTTAACTATAAAAATATATGTTGTAAAGCGCCGCGTAAACTGTTGGCGCTAAAAAAACGCTGTATTATAATTTTTTTATATATATATATATATATATATACACAGTGGGGATCGAAAGTTTGGGCACCCCAGCTACAAATTTGTATTAATGTGCATAAAGAAGCCAAGGAAAGATGGAAAAATCTCCAAAAGGCATCAAATTACAGATTAGACATTCTTATAATATGTCAACAAAAGTTAGATTTTATTTCCATCATTTACACTTTCAAAATAACAGAAAACAAAAAAATGGCGTCTGCAAAAGTTTGGGCACCCTGCAGAATTTATAGCATGCACTGCCCCCTTTGCAAAGCTGAGACCTGCCAGTGTCATGGATTGTTCTCAATCATTGTCTGGGAAGACCAGGTTATGTCAATCTCAAAGGTTTTAAATGCCCAGACTCATCTGACCTTGCCCAACAATCAGCACCATGGGTTCTTCTAAGCAGTTGTCTAGAAAACTGAAACTGAAAATAGTTGACGCTCACAAAGCTGGAGAAGGCTATAAGAAGATAGCAAAGCGTTTTCAGATGTCAATATCCTCTGTTCGGAATGTAATTAAGAAATGGCAGTCATCAGGAACAGTGGAAGTTAAAGCAAGATCTGGAAGACCAAGAAACATATCAGACAGAACAGCTCGCAGGATTGTGAGAAAAAACAATTCAAAACCCACGTTTGACTGCACGATCCCTCCAGAAAGATCTGGCAGACACTGGAGTTGTGGTACACTATTCCACTATAAAGAGATACTTGTACAAATATGGTCTTCATGGAAGACTCATCAGAAGAAAACCTCTTCTACGTCCTCACCACAAAAATCATTGTTTGAACTTTGCAAATGAACATATAGACAAGCCTGATGCATTTTGGAAACAAGTTCTGTGGACCGATGAGGTTAAAATTGAACTTTTGGGCCGGAATGAGCAAAGGTACGTTTGGAGAAGAAGGGGCACAGAATTTAATGAAAAGAACCTCTGTCCAACTGTTAAGCATGGGGTTGGATCAATCATGCTTTGGGGTTGTGTTGCAGCCAGTGGCACAGGGAACATCTCACGAGTAGAAGGAAAAATGGATTCAATAAAATTTCAGCAAATTTTGGATGGTAACTTGATGCCATCTGTGAAAAAGCTGAAGTTAAAGAGAGGATGGCTTCTACAAATGGATAATGATCCCTAAAACACACCTCGAAATCCACGGGGGATTACATCAAGAGGCGTAAACTGAAGGTTTTGCCATGGCCTTCACAATCTCCTGACCTCAACATAATTGAAAATCTATGGATAGACCTTAAAAGAGCAGTGCGTGACAGACAGCCCAGAAATCTCAAAGAACTGGAAGACTTTTGTAAGGAAGAATGGGCAAAGATACCTCAAACAAGAATTGAAAGACTCTTGGCTGGCTACAAAAAGCGTTTACAAGCTGTGATACTTGCCAAAGGGGGCAGTACAAGATATTAACTCTGCAGGGTGCCCAAACTTTTGCAGACGCCATTTTTTTTGTTTTCTGTTATTTTGAAAGTGTAAATGATGGAAATAAAATCTAACTTTTGTTGACATATTATAAGAATGTCTAATCTGTAATTTGATGCCTTTTGGAGATTTTTCCATCTTTCCTTGGCTTCTTTATGCACATTAATACAAATTTTTAGCTGGGGTGCCCAAACTTTCGATCCCCACTGTATATATATCTCTATCTCTTATATGCATATATACACACGGTGCTCGGCATAAATGAGTACACCCCTTTCGGAAAGTAAGATTTTAATCAATATCTCAAAGGACACAAGAACAATTTCTTGTTTTAAAGAGTTTTAAAGAACATTTGTTTAGCTCATTACATAAAAGTCAGGTTATTAATATAACTTAGGTAATAAATCTTCAGTTTTACTCAAATTCGTTGATGCAAAAACGAATACATCCCACAACAAAAACTACTACATCTAGTATTTTGTATGATCTCCATGATTTGCAAGGACAGCACCAAGTATTCTAAGCATGGAATGAACACGTTGGTGACATACTGCTACGTCAAACTTTTTCCATTCTTCAAGAATGACCTCTTTTAGAACCTGGATACTGGATGGAGAATGATGCTCAACTTGTCTCTTCAGAATTCCCCATAGGTGTTCTATTGGGTTCAGATCAGTAGACATACTTGGCCACTGAATCACTTTCATCCTGTTCTTCTTCAGAAATGCAACAGTGGCCCTAGATGTGTGTTTTGGATAATTGTCATGTTGGAAAAGTACACGACGACCAAGGGCACGGAGTGATGATAGCATCTTCTCTTTCAATATTGAGCAGTACATCTAAGAAATCCTGATACCATCAATGAAATGCATCTCCCCTATACCAGGAGCACTCATGCATTCCCACAGGACACTGCTACCACGTTTCATTGTAGGCACCATGCAGTTTTGAAGCCATCAGTTCCAAAAACATTAATCTTGATCTCATCACTTCAGAGTATAGTCCCAGTAGTCGTTTTTTTCAGCATGGGCCCTGGGAAATCCTAGGCAGGCTTTTTTGTGCATGGGCTGTAGGAGAGGCTTTCTTCGGACGACACTCATGCATGCCATTCCCCTGCATTGTACGCCGTATTGTGTCACGGGAAACAAAGCACTCCAGTTTGGCTTTCTACTTCTTTACCTAACTGCAGTGAACTTGCATGGTGATTTTCTTCAAACCTTATCATCAGAAAACGCTCCTGTCAATGTCCTAACTTCCGTGAGTGGCCTGGACATCTCCCTGAGATGGTTGCAGTTCCATCTTTGTTACATTTTTGTGTCACTTTTTCTGCAGTACTCTGATTGATAAGTAAAGCTTTGCTGATCTTCTTGTAGCCTTCCCCTTTCTTGTGTAAAGAAATTATTTTCTCTCTCAGGCCTTGTGACATTTCTCTTCCTTGTGGTGCCACTACTGACAGCATGAAATGGGACGGGTTTTTCTTTGTTAAGCAATGCCCTTTTATATTCAACTGTCTGCTGGACACCTGTTTAACTGCTTCCCGACCCCCCTATAGCAGAAATACTGCTACAGGACGGCATGGGTGTACAAAATCACGTATAGATACGTGATTTTGTATTTTCGGGTAGGGGGTGCGTGCGAACAGCACCCTACCCACGCCACCATTCGTGACCACGGTTGTCAATCACTGGGTCCTGGCCGGTGATTACTCGCTGGCACCAGGTGATTGCCGAGTAATGGTGAGAAGCACTGTTTGTAAACAAAACAGTTCTCCTCCCTGTCAGCTCATGCACACTGCTTTGGATGGCTGTGCTCAGCCATGCAAAGCAGTGTGATTACAGTGAAGCACACAAACACAGCACATAGTCTCCTAGATTGTAAGCTCCAAGGAGCAGGGACCTCAAATCCCTCTTGTATTGAACTGTATTGTTGCTGTATTGTCTCCCGTTATATTGTAAAGCGCTGAGCAAACTGTTGGTATAAATCCTGTATAATAACAATAACAGCACACACAAAAATAATAAAACAATCCCAGTATATGTACCGCCATTTGTATACACTATAACTTTCACGTAAACCAATTAATTTACACGTATTGGGATTTTTTTTTCAGCAAAGACATCGAGCAGAATTAATTTTGGCATAAAATTTATGACAAAATTTGTTTTAAATTTTTTTACTGGACATGTTTAATAGCAAAAAGTCAAAAATCGCACAGGCGATCAAATACCACCGAAAGAATGCTCAATTAGTGGGAAAAAAAGGACGTAAATTTAATTTGGGTGCAGCGTTGCATGACAGAGCAATTGTCAGTGAAAATAACGCAGCGCCGTAACGCAAAAAGATGGCCTGGTCAGGGAGGGGTAAATCCTCTGGAGGGCAAGTGGTTAATGGTTAGACTCACCTGTAGTTGAATTCTTGTTATTTAGAATTTTGTTAGCTACAATTTAGCTTTGCTCCTCATGCTTTCATTGGGTGTGTGTTGATTTTTGCAAAATGGTCTTGAATGAATTTAAGAAAAATACTCGTTTCTGTGTGCAAATTAACAAATCTTGTTTGCAAAATAATAGGGTGTACTCATTTATGAGTATATATATATATATATATACACACACACACACACACATATACACACATACATACACACATACACATATACATACATACACTGACACTTTTCAAAACCTGAAATAGGAAAAAGATTCAAAGCAGCAGTGGAAAATTACATTGGGAGAAAGATACTATGCCTTGTTTTAGGCAGGTCTTACAGAAGACAGTAGCATAAATTAGGGCTACAATGAAGAACAACAGGAGAACAAATAACATCAATTTATTCATACATCAGTGTAGCGCTCAAAGCGTAAAAAATAAAAGGCATAAGTTTTCATTGCAAATCTAGCTATTACCTTGTAAAGCTCAATACAATACGTAAACATATCAATGTTACAAAAGTTAAAATTATTCAATATATCAACCAAACTATGTGTAGGGACCCCGATGACGTCACGGGGCTTGGACATATGTCACCATGCATGCGTACACACTCGTGGCCATCTTTGATGTGGGAATATACTGAGATTTTTGATTGTACAGCGCTGTATTTTACTTTGGACTTTGTAAGTGTTTTTATTTTAATAAAAAATTTTAAGACAGTTTTACACTATGGAAGCTCTTCTATTTTATATACATGTCTTTTGGATAAATGACGAATTAAGAGTTCATGGTCACCACGGAGTGGGTGAACGCTATTTGTGCTACATCGGATGTTGTGGAGGAGGCTTGCTTCGGCATTATCTGTTAACATTCAGCTGTTTCTGACCACTCAATAATATGAGGCTCAAACATATCTGGTAAGCCTTTTGGAGCACAGAGTGAAGTGACATGTTTTGCATGTGCAGACAACACTTTATTGCCAAGAGTTTGATATTCACTTTATACCCTTTTGGTTTCACATGGAGTTGGGACTTTCATTCATGGACTTCAGCTTATCACATTGATATTTTTTCTTAAAAATATGATGCAAATATTTTGAATGGTTGCTATATTGAACAATTTTCACTTTTGTAACACGGATATATTTACGTATTGATGTACTGAGCTTTACAAGGTAATAGCTGGATTTGCATTGCAATCTTTTGCCTTTTTTTTTTTAAACACTCTTGAGCACTACACTGCTGTATGAATATGTTTGTTAAATCCCTGTATCTGGATTCTGTGTTAGCTGCTTAGTTCTATTTCGGAACTAGCACAGATTTCTTACATGCTAAACATAACAGTAATTACATGTATGCTCAACTTTGCCAGTCCTTTGGAAAATGGATTCCAGAGGTAGCAAGAGAACAATTACTTTATCCTCAAGTAATGCCAGAGAATGTAGAAACAACAAAAACCCTGGAGTAAGGATGAGGAATAGCAGAACTGGTCAAAAAATTTAAAATAGGCTGATGAACAAACAAGTGTAAAACCAGAATATTGAAGTAGTGCAATCACTGCAGCAACTTGGTCACACCTGGCACTGATTGAAGTTGGCATTTTCATCAATCCTCAAAAAGGTGAATGAATGGTAGTCCAGAAACATCTCCAATATGTCCAGCATGAGTAACATCTGGGAGAAAATCAGCACACGCCGACCCTCAGACCTCAGCTTCTGGAGGAGGATGGATAAAGCCTCCAGTTTTCCTGTGAATGGCAAAAGCAACACTTAACCAAGAGCCAGTCCATGCAAAATGTCATTAATTTAACCACTTGCCCTCCAGAGGATTTTCCCCCCTTCTTGACCAGGCCATTTTTAAACAATACGGCACTGCGTTACTTTAACTGGCAATTGTGCGGTCATGCAACGCTGCACCCAAATGAAATTTATGTCCTTTTTTTTTTCTCCACAAATAGAGCTTTCTTTAGGTGGTATTTGATCACCTGTGCGATTTTTATTTTTTTACGCTATAAACAAAAAAAAGAGAGAATTTTGAAAAACAACAACAAAAACAGTATTTTTGACTTCCTGCTACAAAACATGCAGTAAAAATGTAAAAAAAAAAAAAAAAAAAAAAAAAAAAAAAAATCAGATTTTGCCATAAATTTCATCCAAAATAAATTCTGCTACGTTTTTGCTGAAAAATATCCCAAAACATGTAAATTAATTGGTTTATGTGAAAGTTATAGCATCTACAAATAGCGGTATATATACTGTAATTTATTTTTTTTCTAAATACTAGTAATGGCGGCGATCAGCGACTTATAGCGGGACTGCGGCAGGAATTCTGACACTTGGGGGGAACTAACTGCCACAGACATTCCCAGTGACACTAATACAGTGCTAATAAAAAGCACCGATACTGTACTAAGGACACTGGGCAGGAAGGGGTTAACACCCGGGGCAATCAAAGGGTTAATTGTGTGCTGTTTTACTGTGTGTGCTGTGTGTGTTTTACTAGTGATACATGCTGCTGTGCAGAGAAATACACAGCAGCATGTTACTGCTGGCAGGAGAGAGACCTGTGCTGTTTACACAAAGGTCTCTCCCTTGTCAGTGATACTCGGCGATCACCAAGTGCCGGCGGGGAATCTACGCTCAGGACCCGATGATCAACATCTGTAGCCACCAATGGCGGGATGGGTAGGGCGGTGAGCATGCGCCTCCTACCCTGAAATGGAAAATCACGTATATACATACATATACACATACATGTGGTTTTGCGCAGCCTTGCCGCCCTGTAGCAGTAGTTCTACTATAGGGCAGTCGGGAAGTGGTTAAGGGCTATAGACCTAAACAAAATCTATATGTAACATATTTTATACAATGCAGGGATGTGCAAATCCTATCGCCCAACGCCCGGGACATGTAGTTCCGGGTGCCGGGCAGGTAGTTTTTTTTTTTTTTCGCCCTTCGCTCTGCTGCGGGCCTTCCACACAGCCCACAGCCTCTCCCCTTTGCCCGCTATATGCCCCAGGCTCCGCTTGCCCATCTGCGGCCCCGGGACTGGTTCAGTGGGTGCCGCAGAATGTTGTGGAGGGGAGGGGAGGGAGGAGAGCAGACACATCCGCTCCCCTCCCCTTTTTGCCCTGACCCGGAAGTGATGTGACATCAGTTCCAGGTCATTTAGCAAATTCCTGGTCATTGAGGTCTGGAAAGAATGTAATGCAGTGCGATGCACACTACATTACATTCAGTGGATCACAGGGGAGAAATCCAGAATCTTTTAGAACCTGGATGTCTCAAAAAAGAGAACTTGTCACCAAAACATCATCACATAGGGGACTTTTTGTCCCCTATGTTGTGATGAAAAAAAATTTTTTTTAAACTAAAGTTACAACAAAGCATATAACCCTCACAAATTTTTCAAGGCCCCCCCCCCCATCCCCACATATGTACACACGCACAGACTTAAAAGCACACTGGGGCGCCTACACATGAAAACGTTGACTGCGATGCATGTTACATATCACCGCACACGGCAGAATGAGAGCAATAATTCTAGCACCAGACCTCCGTAACGAAAAACCAATGACCTATAAGGGGCTTTAAAAGTGCCACCTGTAGAAAACACAGGGTACTAAAATTTGTTGGCGTTTCACAAGTGCACGCAAATTTAAGGTTTGACATGTTGGATATATATTTACTCGATGCAACCTCGTCTTTGATATTTTACAAAAAAAAAAAACCTTTGTGATAATATTGTGTGACATACAAAATTGGAACTACCGCTATTTTATTCTTTAGGATCTCTGATTTCAGAAAATACATAATGTTGGGGGTTTTGTGTCATCTTCAGGTCTTAAATGTTTTTTAAACGTGCAAAAAACGCAAAAACTGCTCTGCCAGCGAAAAAAATAAAGGATAAGTTAGACACTCCCCTTTCCTGAGGAGCACCCAGTCAGTGCTCATTACACTGCAAGGTCTCCTCCCTGCTAGTCCCCGGGTACGGTGCTGAAGACAGGGAGGGAGGGACGGAGGAGATAAGCAGCGCAATGTTAAAAATATTAAACTTTAAAGTCACCATAGAGCCCATTTTATTTTCAAAAGCCCCAGACATCACTTAAAAGCAGATTTAAATATGGTTTTGGTTAAAATGTATGTTTTCTTTTATCAGGACAAGCAGATTGTCATGAGGGACAAGTAGATTGGGACACCAATTTAGTCCCTGGACAAGTAGTTTTTTCTACAATTTCCACACCCCTGCAATGTCATAGTCAGAATACAGCAGGTAAAATAAGTATTGAACACGTCACCATTTTTTTCAGTAAATATATTTCTAAAGGTGCTATGGACATGACGGTAACAACCCATGCAATCCATACATACAAAGAAACCAAAACAAATAAGTTCAGAAATTAACCGCTTCCCGACTGCCCTATAGCAGAAATACTGCTACAGGATGGCACAGGTGCGCAAAATCACATATATATATACACACATGATTTTGCACTTCCGGGTAGGGGATGCGCGCGAGCCCTACCTGCGCCGCCATTCGTAGCCGCGGCTGTCAATCACCGGGTCCCAGCCGGTGATTACTGGCGGGCGCCCGGTGATTGCCGACCATCTCCAATGGGGAGGAGAACTGTATGTAAACAAAACAGTACTCCTCCCTGTCAGTTGTGCACACTGCTTTGAATGGCTCACAGCACACAGTTAACCCTTTGATCACCCCTCATGTTAACCCCTTCCTGCCCAGTGCCATAAGTATAGTGTCAGTGGTTTTTTTTTTTTTAGCACTGATCACTGTAATGGTGTCACTTCCCCCCAGTGTCAGAATGCCCGCCGCCATTATTAGTAAAAATAAAACAAAAAATCCCAGTATATATATACCGCCATTTGTAAATGCTATAACTTTCACGTAAACCAATGAATTTACATATTGGCTTAAATTTCTGACGAAATTTGATTTTTTTTTTAATTTTTACTGTACATTTTTAATAGCAAAAAGTAAAAAAATATTGTTTTTTTTCTTCTCAAAATTGTCGGTTTATTTTTTTTTTTTAACCATGCCAACAGTGAAGTTTCTTCCATGCTCAGGTGGCAACCTATCACGGTACCACGCTTGAAGTCACTGAGCTCCTGAGAGTGACCCATTCTTTCACAAATGTTTGTAGAAGCAGTCTGCATGCCTAGGTGCTTGATTTTATACATCTGTGGCCATGGAGGTGATTAGAACGCCTGAATCCAATAATTTGGAGGGGTGTCCCAATACTTTCGGCAATGTAGTGTATACTTGTTATTGAAAACACAGATTCACAACAAAGTTTCATTTCTACTCCATACACTATACAAACAAAAAAAACCACAAAAAAACAAGACACAATCATCTACACATTTACCATATAAAGTTAAAAGTATATCACAATATTTAAGAAGAAATTCCCCATTAAAACAAGAACACCCAGCTATAACAAACAATACCCCAATTTATACCACTAATCTCTCTCATTTCATTCCTACATGAATAGCCTTTATTAATAGCTCTCAGGAAAAAAAGAACAAAAAAAAAAAAAAAACCTCTCTTTGAATCTATTTGTCCCCACCTTCATTGTTCTGTTGTTCTGAACCATCTACCAGAAGGCAATAGTTTAAAGAAATGATAACCAGGATAGGTCAAGTCTCTTACTAAGGTAATGAATATAATAAATTTAATCTAGAGAAACAAGTTTGTAGCCCAGGATTGTCTGTTGAAGGTGAACTATCCCTTTATAGAGAGTTATTCATACTGCATAAAGAACTGCCTATGCAGTTAAGGAGCGTCTGTGGATAAAAAAAAAAAAAAAAAAAAAAAAACTGTATCTCTGACTTAACGACTTGCCTATCAGGGACTTATACCCCTTTCCTGCTCAGGCGAATTTTTAGCTTTCAGCGCTGTCGCACTTTGAATGACAATTGCGCAGTTATGCGACACTGTACCCAAATGAAATATTTATCATTTTTTCACACACACAGAGCTTTCTTTTGATGGTATTTCATCGCCGCTGGGTGTTTTATTTTTTTTTTGTGTTATAAACAAAAAAGAGCAAAAAATGTGTGCCGCCTATCCGTGCTGCCTACCCGTGCCCATCAGTGCTGCCTATCCGTGCAACCTCATCAGTGCCACCTATCAGAGCCCATCAGTGCAGCCTCATCAACACACATCAGTGAAGGAGAAAAATTACCTGTTTGCAAAATTTTTTAATAGAAACAAAGAAAAACTTTTTTCCACATTTTTTTGCTCTTTTTTTTGTTTATAGCGCAAAAAATAAAAAACACCCAGCTGCAATTAAATACCACCAAAAGAAAGCTCTATTTGTCTGAAAAGAAATTATAAAAAGTTCATATGGGTACAGTGCTGCATGACCGCGCAATTGTCAAAGTGTGACAGCGCTGAAAGCTGAAAATTGGACTGGGCATGAAGGGGGTATAAGTGCCCGGTAGGCAAGTGGTTAAATAATTAAAAAACAATAATCGGATTTTTGTTTATTTCAAATGGAAATTTTTTATGAAATTTTTTTTAATAAAATGCTTTTGGAGTAAAAATCCATCTAAAGATAACTTTTCTATTTAAGATACATTAATAATTTAGTTTATTTAGCATGAAATGGAGCTTAGTTTTGTAGCATGAGGCTGTATATTCTGCAATATTTACACTTTTGGAAAACTCATTCAATGAATCCAAGCTCTGCAGAGCTTGAGATAAACGTGCGCTGCATTGATGCAT